TGGTATTCCTGGAACTGTATGCTTCTGGATAATCCAGATCATGGTGCCCGGAAGTGAAGGTTTTCGGTGCCACCTTCGTGGGGCCAATCCACGGATGCGTCAGGGCGAAATTCACGGAAATTGTATCGCCCCTGGCTTTTGCTCCCCTTTTAAAATCAAGATTTTGAGCTCTTGAAATGGACCGCTTGGATATAGCGTCGCTTGAAAATAAAGGTTATAGCCACCGAAATGAAAGCTGTACCTCTTAGCCAAATGGACCAGCCCGGGACGTCGTCAGAGTTTTAAACATAGCATTACTGTATCCCTGAAACTTAGTGCCCCTTGAGAATGAAGGTTTGGGGCTCGTTGCCGTATCTTTGGACCTCGATGTCGGGGTCATTTGTTTTGGCCGTGCAATTTGGTGTCCCTTGAAATAAAGGCTACGTGGATCCAAGATGAAGCGTTTGGTGCCCCTCACCATAAGATCTTGGTGTCCGTTCGGACCAAAAGTGTTTTGCCCCACGCTCCCCCCCCTTCTGTTTTGCCTCTGACTTCGCCTGTCAAGATGGTCGGATTATCTACGTTTTGTGGGGGTGATATTTGTGTTTTGATATTTGGTGGCCAATATTTTGCTTGTCTGGATTTTGCGTGTCGATAGTTAGTGTCGATATTTTGTCAATTAATCAGAAAATCACCACAGTTCATGTCACAAAATTGGTATCAGGCATGAAATTGACACCTATCAACCGTGAAATGAAAAGTCCCAAAGCAGCGGATTTCACGTCGACTGGCCACGCAATGTCTCCAGCCAGTTTCATAGCTTACGTCAGTTTCAAAAGACGTCTTCCGATACATTTCATGTCTGTCGTGTAGCAAGCCATGCCAAGTCAGTTGAATTCAATGACGAATTTCCAGCATTTTAATTTTCATGCTAGAAACGAACCCTTGAAGGGTTCGGGCATGTACTCCTGGAATGCATAGCAGATACAATAAGTGGAACGAATTTCGACATAAAACACAGAGAATGTATCTGGCAATACAATTTTTGCCACCAAGTCTTTTGCCAAGTCTGAAAGATATACCAGGTTGGCAAGTCCGGTCACACCAAAAACTCCAATAATCAATCAACAAATCAGTCCAGAAATAGCCATCGGATGTCGACCCGAAATTCGGACCGCACAGAGAGGTGAGTGACTCCAAATATAATTTTAAATTGTTTTCCTCTTGTAAATCGCCAAAAATATATCATGATTACTGCTACAAACGTGACCCAAAAACGCAGGCATTCACCACTTATCTTACCGATCCAGAACTTGCAGATTCCAACTTGGTATGGACGGTTGCATGATATTGTGGCTCCAAATTCCTTTTACGGCCTCTGCAAAGTTGCCATTGTAGCATTCTTATACCTCATGGTAAAATACGTTGGCAAGCTTCAATCTCGAAACAGGGTTCCAACAGACCTATTCAGAAGCCCGTATTTAACAAAGAACAATTGGTGAACCTTTGATTTGGACATTTGATACCCTTTTCGAGACCTGAGCCTGCCGATCCCATTCATGACAGGTCAAGTACGCTTGCAGGGCTGCTTTGCCCCTTCTACCGAGGAAGAGGTGCTTGCCGGAGAGGAAAAGCTGACGTGCTCCATGCCCCAGAAGTGTCAAAAGTGCTCCAAAAACTTCAGGATTCAGAAGCTCTCACGCACCCTTGTGGAAGCATATGAAACAGCTCTTGCTGCACGCTCAGAATGGGTACAAGCTCGGTGCCACCGTGGGCTTCACCAGTGACCTGTCGTCACGCCCTGCCGCACCGGGAGACTGGATTTACAAGCCGTAAGGCGTCGTGAGACACCATCATGGCGTGGCGCACTCAGGCGGCTACTTGCCCCAATGCACTGCAAAACATCCCTGTTTGAGAATCTGGCACGAGTACACCGACTCCAAAATTCAATCCATCCGCATCCATCACGCCAACAGTTGCGAAACGTATATGCTGTTTTTTAATAGCCAGTGACTGATCTGTTGCTAACCAGTACAAAATATTCCTCATTCGCTTGTGTTGAAGCACCGAAAGCGCATGTTTTCCGTTTGCGTGTTGTTTAAGTGAAGGTTCTGTCGTCGCTGGAAATTGGCGCATTGACCACTTTTGTTACGGAAACTTTATCGCATTATCATGATGATTGATCGAGAAGGCGGTACCTTTGCTGGCTTCGTTTAAGCCAAAGCTTCTCGGCATTCAGTTATATATATATATATATATATATATATATATATATATATATATATGTGTGTGTGTGTGTGTGTGTGTGTAAGTATTCCTTTATTAGCATCCCGGATATGGTTTAACGATCACGCCCACGGCGCCAGAAAATAAAGCATTAGTTCCGGCTGATGAAAGGTTATTGACGAACAACCCGGGTAGCTGCTTTTTCAATATCTGACAATTACTTTTTGTACTTCACGAAACATTCAAAGAGATATTGGCGCACATGCACGACACCGCATGGAAATTTGACACCGGGTGTGGAGAAAGGTTCGTGGGAATGGGGGTCCGCGCTCCAGGCCGTCCTGGAAAACGGGAGAAGGGGTGGGGGCAACACCTCTTTAGAGGGTGGCTGAATGATATTGTGTGAGGGCAGGCTGCTCTACAGTGCTGACATCTCTTGGTTGAGAAACGAATGGCAAATGATAGGGAAGAGCTAGCGGTGGAAGCAACGCACCCTTCAGTCCACGTCGTAATGTGGGTCCGTTCCCTTTCCTTAGAGCCAGACCTGTATTAATTAAGCGCACTGGGTCTGTTTTTTTTCTGTCCTTGGCAGCCTAACCTGATTTCATTTGACACCGATTCCGATTCCGATGATGTGTCAAGGTTTCAAAATTCGATCACGTTTGGTTCGATTTCAGTCGCGGTGATGATGGTGAGTAGGCATATATAACGCCCACTGTGGGCTAAACATCCCACAACGAACGCACGTATTTAGATCATAGCGAGTGAAAACATGAAGTGTGCCATATGTGCGATAACATGCCCACTGGAGGCGTTAGGAAAAGGCACATTTTTGAAGGAGCATATTTGACTTTCACAAGCCCAAGGTTGATTCATTACACATTCGGCCCACGCTTCCGGCAAAGTAAACTGTGAGCCCAAGCCCCACAGCAAGTGACTCATTGTCCGCCGTCCGCCTGCTAGAGGCCGCACGTGTGACGGAAAACGCCCAAAAGCCATCATGGACTTACCGGGCTTAGACATGCAGGTAGCTGCAGCTATAGGCGTGCTATAGCTACGCCAGGTTGCTATAGATACCCGACAAAACGACAAGTAATGCCAAACTGAATATACATCTTTTGGTTGGCAGCAGTTATGTTTTTTGACGTCACTGTACCAACAGCTGGAAGTGTTTATGTCATAACGTTGTTACTTAGGACCTTGGTCTCCACCAACTCTGCGCAATCAGCTGACAGCCTCACCGTGCCGCAGATTTACGCCGCTGTACGGTATTGAATTTCTGCGTGCCGATTGGTGGGGGCAGGGTTATCTAACGTGGGTGGGGGTTGGGTGGGCTGCAGGTGAGTGAAGGCGTTATATTTTTTGATTATGTGGCACATGGACCTAATTTAGGATGCTGGAGTTTTTTGTAAGCATTCGGTGCATCAACTGATACCAATATTGTATGGTTTATGTACCGGATTCATTTATACAGATAGTTGAAAGTATTGAGGCCGACGCTGGCTATACCTAGCATTCCTACTGGGACTTGCAGCTGCTTCGCGGAGCATGTTTGGTGTCACATTTCTGTAGTTGGTCCCTGACCAGTGCTCATCACATATGTGTTGGTAGTGCTGAAATATTGACACTGCAGTTCAGGTTGGGATTGGTTGCTCGTTGCTGTCCAACCCCCATACTAGCAGACATCAGCAGTTCACAGCGTGATTCTGTGTTTTGATTGCCTGTTGTGGCATAGTTGCCTGACATCCTTTTTTACCACCTGCCCTTTCATTCATCCCACACATGTGATATTACCACATGATGCTAGATGTTGGCATACCATCTAATTTGCGCACAGCCAGTTCCCGTGCAGGCTTTCAGTTACCTTTTCCAACATCAACTGTTCTTGTCTGGCTGCATCTGGGTTTTCACTGATGCTCTGTAGGTTTTTGTTAGCCAAGAGATTGGTAATGACACAAATGTATTGAGATTAACAGGTGGCTTATATTCATTGTGTATTTCACCAGTTGCATTACCTAACCTTAGTTCAAGCTTGCAACATTTGTATTTTCAACATTACAGAAAGCTTGCTAGATCTCAGTGAATGTTATGTTCTTGAAAACTAATCAAAACTGTAACCTGAACAAGACAATCTATTAAGAGACCTGCATGTTTATAAGTGTGTGCTTTGGCCTGCAGCTGAGCTATTAACCAAGGGCATGTTTAGTTTAAAGCATGCAAGACCAAACTGTAATCTGGTCTTGCTCAGGATACATTTTAAACAATTGTGCATCATTGCTGGTATTTATTAGCCTGAGTGTCCTTTCACTCCATAATGTTTGCCTAAACACCTCTTTGGTAATGATAAACCAAACATGTCATATTAGAATGCATGAATGAATTATTAGAATGCATCATTTGCCTTGCATGACCTTGAGACATTATCTTTGGTTGTGTGTTTCTTTTCTATGCATGTTTGGCTTAGCATATGCCTTTAATGAGCAGCACATTCTTATCCATGCATGGTATGTTAATCTCAAGCAGGTCACCACAGGTCACTAATCTGAGTGGGAGTTGAACTTTAGGGTCACAGTCAGGGTCCACATCATGTCTGCACCCATGTGGACTGTGGTTGCCTGTCAGCTGCTGCCACCCATGGTTGACACGTCTCTGGCGCCGACAGGTCTGTGCTGGCCGCTGGGCAATGGGAGGCGGCTCGGCGGTGGCGTTGTGTCTGGTCTGCCTCTCGCCGCCGGCCTGAGCCCATCAGCGTCTGCCAGGCGCTGGCCGCCTCCGGCCGGCCGCTCTCCGACGTCATGGCCGAGCTGCTGACGCCGCGCGAGACGCTCGACCGACACATGCTGCAGACGGTGTGCGGCCAGTGCCACCGGCTGCTGGCCGACTTCGACCAGGTGTCGGAGCAGGCGCGTGGCCTGCGCGCCACCATCCAGAGCGTGTTCGACCGGGCCGACCGCCAGCTGGCGGCCATGCTGCTCGAGCCGCGCCAGTCGCGCGCCGTGCTGGAGGCGGCCGCCCGCCACCGGCCGGCCGACAACGGCGCAGTCCACATCGAGATCCTGCAGACCGAGGCCACCGGACCGTTGGACCAGGTGAGAGTGGCGGCTCGCGCCTCCGGACGCCGACCGGTGGACCGTGTGAGAGCGACGCTCTGTTCCTCCGGACACCGGACCGGGCGAGAGCGGCGGCTCGTGGCTCCGGACGGCCGACCGGTGGGCCAGGTGAGATTGGCGGCTCGTGCCTCCAGACGGCCGACCGGTGGACCGTGTGAGAGCGGCGCTCTGTTCCTCCGGGCACCGGATCGGGCGAGAGCGGCGGCTTGTGCCTCCGGACGCTGGACCGGGTGAGAGCGGCGGCTCGTGCCTCCGGACGACCGACCGGTGGGTCGGGTGGGAGCGCTGGACCGGCTAGGCAGTTCCGCTCCTTGTCACAAGGCGTGGCTTTGGTATCACAAGGTCAAGTCTCTGCGTCATTCAGGGCTGGCGTAATACCCTTGCAGGTATGTGTAGGCGTACTTGCATTCACATTCGCCTGCCACGATCTATGCATGTGCGTGAATAAATCAAAAGTCATATGAATAGGTCCAATCCCTGAAAATTTAGATCTATGCAAACTGCTTAGGCTGTGCCTAAACGATGTATGTCAGGTGAGGCTCGATCCGTAACCGCGTTTGGTTTCGCGGTCACGATTTTACATTTGGACGTGCTCTGACATGACTGAGGCTGATAAGGTGCATTGTGCGTGTGCGTGCGCATGCACATGCATGCGTGTGTGCGACATCAGCTCATGACAAGATTCTGGACTCGTATCCCGTCCCCTGGAATCCTTTTGAAACGTGGCGCACCTCTTATATTTTGAATTTTTAACGTGCGTCGTGATGGAGAAGATGGTGACAGACTCGTTTTGTGTTGACTCGTGTTCCGGAAGTCATTTGCCCGTGATGTGCTTTGCAGAGGGCGTTGCGATCGGCGGCCGAGTCGCATGAGGCCGGCCGGCTGACGGCCGCGGCGCCGGTGCTCCCAGACCAGTCGGTCGCCGTTGGCGCGGCCTGCGGGCTGAATCCGGCGGCGCCCCGCTCGGGCGGAGGGACGGGCGGCACCGGGCCGACGCCGACAGACGGAGGCGGGCTGGCCGGCGGCTGCGATGCCGGCGGCCGCTACCGCTGCGGACTCTGCGGCCAAGCGTTCCGCGACAAGGCGCTGCTGCTCGCGCACCGGCGTCGCCAGCACGCTGACGCGCGCCGGCGGCCGCCGCGGCCGGGCGGCGCTCGAGTGCGCCGTCTGCCGGCAGCGGTTGGGCAGCCGGGCGGCGCTACGGCGGCACGAGGCCACGCACGGCTCGGGCGGTGGCCTCGCGTGCGCCACCTGCGGCAAGTCATTCCGGCGGGCGGCGACGCTGCGCGCCCACCAGATGCTGCACGACGAGCGCGGCCTGCGCTGTCCGTACTGCCCGCAGAAGTACACGTCCCGCCAGGATCTGGAGCAGCACGTGGCGCGGCACACGGGCGCGCGCAACTGCGCCTGCCCCGAGTGCGGCAAGACGTACCGCTTCCGCTCCAACCTGACGCACCACGTCCAGACGGTGCACCGCAAGGTCCGGCTCGAGTGCACGCTCTGCGGTAAGACGTTCAACATGCAGAAGAAGCTGAATCCGCCACCGGAACATCGTGCATGGACGGCTGCGGTTCAAGTGCTTGGAGTGTGACAGCCAGTTCCGCTACGAGGGTCAGCTGAGGAGGCACATGAAGAAGTCGAAGCACTTGTCGGGCAAGGACCAGTCGCTGGAGGCGTACATTGAGACGGTGGAGACGGGCGAGGACGGCACGCAGATGCTGACGCTAGTGATCGAGGACGGTGATGCGGGCCCGCTCGGTGACGACGACACGCGGGAAACGCTGGTGCTATCTGTCGGCGAAAATTTCAATCCCGATGAGGTGGATGGTCCGCTAGAGCGCGGTGTGGGGTGCGCTCGCGGGGAGGGGGCAATTTTAGAAATCATAGAGGAGGAGGAAGATTCAAACGTCGACAACGGTGACCAGATAATGTTAGAGGTGTAATTTTCGGTGCGTTTCGGTTATTACTCGGGGAGTCACCTGTTAAGGCGGAAACTGGTCTGCGGCGCGTTGGTAGATGGTCAATTCAACCAGGTCTGCTCATGGTGGCGGAGACCGCTGTTTGTGGTTAGGCCTTGGGACGGGAGGAGGGCACCGAGGCTCAGTGTCCTGGGAGTGCCCTGAGAATTTTTCGGGCATCGCGCCAAAAATAGGTGTCGTGAGATTTCTTTTCATGAGATTTCATGAGATTTCGTGAGATCACCGAATGAGCAAACGTGTGGAGCTGTGGAGGACGGAGGAGCGACTGCCCTACCCCTGCCTCCGAGTATTTTCCCATATGAATGCAGGTTGCGTGTCAGACAGTGTAGCTCTTTCAGCGAAGTAATTGGCATGGAGCTATTTTGTGCCCTACCGCATTAACGACAGGTATTTTCGGAAGCGTGTGCACTTGGTTGCGTCGACTTCATAAGCACTGTCACTGTCAACCATATTGTAACCGATATTGTTGCGAAGAAAAATGTCCTGAAATTGTGCTGGGACAGAAGAGCGATCGCTGCACCTAATCATGCGTGTTGAGGTCAGGGAGCATGTGTGTAATGCTCAAACATATTGTATGCTGCGCGGGGCACGTTTCATGCCTTCGCAAGATCACAAGAGCTTATGCGCATGTTCATGATGCCTCGCTCAGATATGAGATAAACACTGAGACGACGGTGGTGATTTGGGTTTTAAGGGCGCGTCGGCATCAGTTGAGACGACGGTGGCAGACAGATTCGTGACAGTCAGAAGTCACTAGTTTAAACTCTGAGATCACTTGGAATGCTCATGAACAAAGCATTCTGGAGCAGGGCCTCGGATAAGGAATTGTCACGGGGGAGGGGGGCGATGCAAAAAATTATCATAGCCCCATCCCTCATAAAGCAAACCTCTCAGTCGGTTTCGCTGAATTTTTGAGATAGCGCCGGCCGGAAAATCAATGCAATGACCATGGGTGGAGCTTCTCCAAAAATGTTGGTGGGTCCCAGGCCTCGCTACAGGAGATTCCGCCCCTAGGAGGATCGTCCAAATCAATTAAGTGAAATAACGTAAAAGCTATCCCCATTTCAAGTTACTTTAACGGAAACTGTCAGCTGAACACAAACGAGACATGTTTGCCGAGTTTCGGTTCTCTCCACGATGTACAGTTGTTCTACTTCTTCCGCAAGCACTGGGGAACCGCTGATTCGGCACGCAGCAAGTTTTTGGCACGTAGCAATCGATCTGAATGCGATGAAAGCCTGCACTATGCATCTCACCTAACTCATTTTCGGCAATGCGGCTTCGCGTCTTGACGTAAATGCATGGTAATGGGTGTATGCAGACTTGGGGCATCGGACGCCTATGCCATCTTACTGAGGCTCCGAAGCCCCTAGGATAGAGATAGATGTGTATCAGGTTTTGATATTTCCAAGCTGTTTAACAACTTCACCGCCATTGACTAATGACCTGATTGAGCTCGTTTACTTAATAGTTAAACAACAGGCAGCTTTACCCAGGATGGCTTTGCTTTGTGTACATCATGTGCCATGCACATGACAGTGCATCACTGCGTTTGAACTGTTGACAATTGGATGACAATGAAGCAAATCACGCCAAGAGTGGCATCAAAGCTGGAAACATTAAAAGGAAAAGTCAAAAGCAGGCCATTCACATGTATTGCAGGCGGCCATGGTCAGACTGCAACCAGACAGCTCCTATGACGCCACAGTTCGCTGACATGCGTGCTCCCAACGTGACCCAGTACACTCTACAGGGATCCTTCGGAGTGGAAGAACTTCTTGGCAAATTCACGCTGCTTGTATTTCTGCGGGTCCGGCCGACGGTTGCGCCTGGCTTTGTTTGCCAGGACGGCCGCCACCGCCGGACGCGGGTCAAACCTCGCGGTGCCCAAGCAGCCGGCGCTGATGAAAAGTCGGTCGTTCACCGTTGACAGACGCATGCCCAGGCGATGGCTGCTGCGCACAGTGTTGTAGTGCGACACGGCACGCTCGGTGCCTATGCCGCGTGGAGTGACGCAGAGGAGCGGCGACAAGAGTTGCTTGCAGACGGCTTAAGCGTTTTTTGTCATCGTCACCAGCTTGCCTTTCATGTCAGGATGCCGGTCTCTGGCGTCGCTCATCTTGCGGCACTGGTCACAGTTCACTCTTGTGAACTGGGCCGCGCTCTCTCTACCAAACAGCCCGGATGCCAAGCTGCGACCGGCAGCGGTGAACTGTTTCGCTGACCTGGACTCAATCATAGCGACCATGTCCTGCACAACTTGCTCCTGCTCGACATCGAGCCTGTCGCCCAGAAAGTTTGTCGCGGCCTGAACAATTTCATTACTCACAGCTTCAAGTGTTCTCTTCGTCAAAGCCAGGCTGTTGTGCGCCGGCTTTTTCCTCCTGTCAACCAGGCAGAGGCTCCTCTTTCATGAACTCCAGCCATAGCAGCGCAGCATTGCGGGCCTCCAGCACATCTGGTAGCACGAGGTCCCCGCGTTGGATTTTTTTCTGCAGGTGGCAGAAAATTCCGCAGATGTCGGCCATGACGCTAGTCACACGGACTGCGCGGCCACCCGCGGCCCATTTCTTGATAAAGCCCTCGGCTTCAGCCTTCTCGTTCTTGCTGCATTTTGCTGCTGTCTCCTGCCATACTTCCTACAGTCCGCTAGGTTCGTCAGGACAGCGTTGATTGACGACAGCATGTGCTCGGCGAAAGGGACCTCGATCTCCGATACCGTCTTCTCCACACTCGAGAGAGCTAGATCACCCCTGTGACACACGCACCAGATGGTGATCAGGTCGCGTCCCAGCAGGCCAGTGACCCCCTACCAGACACCACTGTTGCAACCCGCGTTGGTGCTCTCTCCGTCCGTGGTCAAGCCAACCAGCTCGTCGAGAGGCAGATCTAGCCCTTCAACAGCAGTTTTGACCGCCTCTAGTAGATATTTCTTCCATTTTCTTCCGGTTACACCACGCTTAGAAAGTAGGCCTGCAGCTCAGCGTCAGCATCGACCACTCTGGCAGTCACGAATTTGTTGTCTTAACGGTCCATACTTTCGTCAACCTGTAGGCTGTGCACAACTACAGCGGCAATCTTGGCGCCGATCTTGGCCCGCTCTAACTTGGCAACGACGACGACGACGACGCTGAGCATCTCCTGATATATATATATCCGGATCTCTGTAGTGAAGAGCTGCAGGAGGTGGCTCTGTTGGCTGCAGGTCCACTTCCCAACCACCCTCGCTTATACTTTCCAGACTCGCTACTCGTGCAGCGCTGCGAGGGAGCGGGATGGCCACGAACAAGCGGCCAGAGTCTCGTGCAGGCTATCGTTGTAAACAGCAACGAGCTCCAGAAGCGTCTTGCTGACACTAGCGGCAGCTCTTTTGAGGATGGGCATCCAGGGGTGTTTCGAGCTTCCGCTATTTCACTGCCGATCCAGGTTTTTCGCGTCCAGAGTAACGACATGAGATTTTCCGTGTATATGATCTACCACGCCCATCAGTTTCTCCCTGCTGTCCGCTCTGACGCCGCTGGCTATGTAAATCCGCACGTTTACCGAAGCCTCGGCTGCCTCCACCCCGCGCTCTGCGCAGATGGTGCACACCAGCACAGCTCTCTTCCTGCTGCTTATCTGCCGGTTTTCCTGGAGAAGGCAGTCGAAGGCGTTCAACAACCACCAAAAGTTCAGTTTGACTCCCTTGTACCACTCGTCAGTTGTCACACTGCTCTGGTTCGGTTCCGCTGGAGTGGCAGGGTGTGTCTCTGAAGCAGTAGGGTGGATCGTCGAAGCGGTGAGAAGCGTCCCAGAAGAGGTGGGTCGAGTATACCAGGTGAAATCTGGGAGCAGGGAAGTTGCAAGGATTAAAACTGACCAACGAACAGAAGAGAATCTTACCAAAGGGCACAAGGATAGTAAGACAGACATTTTCTGACTGCATGTGTCAAGTTACCAGCTTTTGGTTTCTGTTGATGAAGACCGGGATGCTATTTTCGGAAACATCATAGCAGTAGCAGTAATGCAAATACCGAGCAAGTGGTCTCCTCCTTTGTAGGGAGTTTGAGGTCCAATCGTGTGTCGCGTCATGTTTAGACAACCATCCTGATAAGATAGCACGACAACGCTCGCATACATTCTACGTAAGCGTCAGGTTTTCAGGGCATAAATATCTCGCTGCGGGTCATATCACCACACGAGTCACTAAACATGATTACGCATTTCGCACGCTATCTTCAGTCTCAGATCAATGGGATATGCTTTGCACTGTATTAATTTACAAGGTGCATTTTATGGCAGGTTATAGTAAAACGACACGAAGCGCAACTTTATGAGCTATTAACTTGTCCTGCAATGCACCTAGCATCAGTGAGATGCAAACTAAAAATACAGCCGCCCGAGCTTCAACAGGTCACTGTCAAATTCAAGCAACCTGCTGGTGCTGATAAATAATCAACAGTATGGCCTCAAAATTTACCACCATCATGTCGTCAGAGGACCGTGACCTTAGGTACCGCCACGACCCAACGATATGGTTGCATGTGAAACACAGCCTGTTCGTCCATTATCGGCAGTTTGTCAGACCGCAAGGTTAAAATGGACGCTGGATTCGAATTCACGGTCAAAATAG